ATTATCTATCAATTTCACCAAGAGAGCCTCTAAGACGCCATTTGAAAGGTGTTGTGTCGGTTTCCATTGAAAAATTTTGCAAAAAGAATGTGGCACCTAATAAACACCCGCTAGCAATAACAACAACAACTACGCCAATAACAAAACGGCAATTAACAGCACAATTAAATTGCAATTGCAGGCGGCCGCCACAAACCAAAGGTAAGCAATAAATAAATATTTTATATAAATATTTTTTTGTTTTTATTTTCTGGGATTGTTTTCTTGAAATTTATTATTTATTCATTCATAAAATTATATTTTGTTATTGTTATGGATGTTGTTATGGACATGTTATAAACAATTCTAAGGTAAACCAATGTTTGTTAAATCGGGGGAAGATTTAAAAAAATTCATGAGAAGTGTGGTGTCAATTTCAGCTAATTTTCAATTATCTCATGGTACAATATCCCAAAGGAATTTCCGGTTTATCGTTTTGAGTTTTCAAAATTGGCTAAATCTTATTTTCTCCAAGGAGTATATTCAGTTGACGAAGACGTTAAGGTCGACCGGGCTGAAAATGTATAACTTCCACCATAAGATAAAAACATCAACATACTTCGTTTAGATAGGAGGGATTAGGCCTTCAAAGTATGCATAATGGCACGGTACTTTATATGGAAGATATCATACGATATAGGCATATATAGAAAATGGTTCGGAATAGTTATATATGAATTACATCCTATTAAGGACATTTTAAAAACAAATCTCTTACTAATTGAACTCCATATGCAAATCCGAAGTTCAAAATTAGAGCTACATAAGAATTTTAATACACATTACTTTTCACACGCCCTTTAATGAGGTTTATTTTAAAACAAATAGGACAAAGAGGAACCTTAACTGATACGAAGAAGTCACAACAACAAGCTGGTTTTTGGTCATCCCGAGAGTGTCAAAAATTGGCCCATAGATCTTCCGTAGACTTTTTCTCTGCCTCATCTCCTCGCGCAAGTACCTATACTTCAGAACCATACAACAGCACGGGTAGTACAAGCATCTTGTAGAGTGTGAGTTTGGTCTGACGAGAGGTGGCCTTGTTTCTAAATTGCTTACGTAGACCATAGTTGCATCTGTTGGCCAACACTATTCTCCTCCGAGTTTCAAAACTGATGTCATTAGTTTTATTTATGACGATACCAAGGTATATACAAACTTTGACTACCTCGAAGCTGTAGTTCTCAAGTTCCACAGTTGTTCCGAGTCAACTGGACGTCTTGCGCGTTGATACAATCTGCTTGGCCTTCTCGACGTTTACTGCCAGACCCATTTTACAGACTCCTCAATTTGTCGATGTCATCGGCGGTTATATACCGTCATCTCTTATTGGTTCTGAGGTATCTTCTACACCGCCATTATTTGATACCAGAAGCTTTGCAAATTAATCCTTTCAGATCAACAACACCCTAACTGTATCTGTCACCAGATTTCCTTCTTCATCTCTACAGGAGGATATGCCTGCTCCAAAACCTTTGGTTTCGTGTTTTACTCGTGTTAAAATTTTCGGATTTCGTTCTGACCCCTATACACCTTGAAAAATACGTTTTTCCAGATAATTCTCTCTCGCATTATGTGTTGCTACTTTGAGTTCTCGTTGCTTGATCAGGAGAAATCCAGATGGCCTTGAGTATATCGATATGCTTGAATCTGGTGCTACTGCCGTTGTCGGACGTTTCTGGCCAGGGCAGCGGTCATATGCAGTTTCCATGCGCTCGTAAAATATGTCTTTGGTCTGTTCATCTTTGTCTTCCGTCGGAGCATGGACACAAATAAGATATTGAAGAACTTTTATACGGATTATAGCAATTCGCTCATCTACTGGAGTGAATCTGGAGACGAGGTCTTTTATTCTCCTATTAACCATAAATCCGCAGCCAAATTCATGTATCGTTTCATGGCATCACATTTCCTGTTACTATTCACTATTTCAACGGATAATATTGTAGCTATCCAAAGTGACACCGCGGGGAGATCAGTGTTCATAATTGTCACTGGGCAAAAAGTTCAGTAAAATAAGTTATCTATAAATAGAATGAAACAATGTGGGGTGAAATATCCGTAGTTGGGAAATCTTCCCGTATTTCTACACCACCCTGATAATGTAGAGATTGTACGATATCAAGACATATCGTTGTGTGTAAATAAGACTGGCTGAACACCCACCCCACCTGTTCTGACTACCACCTAGACATGTCAACGAAGATGTTCATGAGCTGAAGAGAGAGCCTCTATATCAACTGGTCTATCAAGCGGGTTTAAATTGTCTTCCGTCTGTCTGTCTGGTTGGTGAGCGGGATAATTCTCAAAGAGAGTGACCGATTTCATCTAAACTTCGCAATATTTCTTTCAAACTTAGATGAAGTTCGAAAATGTGTTCCGTCAGTCAACTCTTTCTGGTACATCCCCCACAAAATGGTCAAAATGTTGTAAAAAATAATTTTTTAATATAATGCGAACACAGTATCCGATTTGAACCGAACTTTTCACAAACTAATACTTATTTCAAAGCCTTTATAATATTTGAATACAAGGTGTATCGTTTCACCACTTCTGCTACTTACCACACAAAGTGTCAACATTTTAAATCCAATACCAATTCCATTGAGTGTCCGATATAATCCAAAATTTTCACTCGTAAAATGTTTACCAAACTAAATTACTTATGGAACCTTCACCACAAGAAGTTAAAAATTTGAAATTTTACAAAATCCATATCAAGCTAAAACTTGTAAAAACATATATAAACGGAATGGTAAATCCTGTTGAGATTAGATCTGTGCTCCGAGTCTTCTGTTGTTTATTGATTGAACTACTAGTATGTTTATTTGTACTGCGATTTAATAATTAAAATTGGGTTGTTTCCGAACGAACTAACTCAAAAGAACTATTCACCAAAATGAACCATCGGCACCAGCTGCGGTTATTTTGTTCATCTTCATCTCCTTTTGCTCCATTCGTTATTTCTGCTCTCGTACATCTATTGTCTTTTTATCCTTTTCACCAAGTTTCTTTTGATCCAATCATTCATATAGATCATCACCCTTAACCTAATGAACAAATTGAACAAAACGGAACATTCGAACTAAATGAATGACCTAATAGATTTTAGTGTAAACCTGACAGAACTTAATAATTACACTGACAATAGATTTAGTGCAACTATCTGGTACCTCCCCTGAGGGTCTCATAGAGTCTACCTACTGAAAATAACAAATCCCTAGTCGAGTCGATAGTGGCCGCATTGCTCTGAATTAGTAATTCATGAATTGAACTGGGAGATATTTGTATACATATGTCAATTCCACCAATTTACCCAACTCAATTATTTTTTCCCAAGCCTGCCATAACTCACTGCAGAGCAGCGGTGCGACCTCATGCTTTATTTTTCTGAATGATGTTGAATCAAAATCATATAAATCCAATATACCGTACAATTTTTATATTTTTTTATGTTTCAATTAATTTTATTTTAGAATTTTAATTACATACAAATTTACAATTTCGAAATATATTTTATTTATTTTAATTTATACAATATGTAGCCAATAATTTCAAATATTAATACTGCAAAACTTAAGTATTAATTCGAAATTTTGAGAGAAAAAAAATTATTTGAATATTTTATTTAAAAAATATTAATTTTTTCGATGTACGAACGGTCGCGATAAATTTGATAAGATACAAAAAATTAACAATTTTCAATTACTAAAATAATAAAATATATTTAATATAAACTTCTTCCGGAATAGTTGTTGTTGTTTGTTTTTTTAAAATAATTCCCTAACCTTTAATTCATGTTTTTTTTTTAATAAAATGTACAAAATAAATCAACCTGTTTCAAATGTAACCTCAAATGTCCGTGTCAAAATAAAATAGAGACGTAATGAGAGTGTGTGAACCACCCTGTTATTTTGTGCAATCAGCTGATTGGTATACAATACAATAATCAATTTAATAGGTATGTCAGTAACATAAATATTGTGCAATTGTGAATCAATTCCTGTCATACTTTTCAAATGTCTGTTTACGATTTCATACATCTAATTCCAGATATGACACTTGACTGACAGCTGAAGTTGGGATCAGCTGATCTCTATGCTTGGCTTTATATATAAACCATGGTTTAAGAAAACAAATTATATTTGTAATTAGTTTTTTGAATAAAATCCATCTTCCACTCCTCTTAATTTATTTATATATTTTTATTTTCCACAATGATCGTTCGGCTGAAGGTCAAATTATTTTAATACGAATTCAAAATTCAATTTTTTATTTTTAAATAACCTAATGTGTTTTTTTATTTTATAGTTTAATTAATTAATATGCGGTGCTTAATATTAAATGTAATATTAAACACCAGAGCCTAGTTTATTTATGAACTGTGTTTTTTTAAATTCAAATATTTATTTACACAACGGAATATTTAGTTTTTTGTTTTTGTAAAATTAGAATTTTTTCGACTAAACCTATATAAGAAAAATAATAAAACAAGTAGTAAATAAAATTAAAAAATAAAAAATACAACAAGACAACAAATTAGGGTTTTCATTAAATAAGTTAGAAGTCTAGATCGGAAATAGAGCGAAAGAAGGAGAGGGGGAAGAATTGGAGGAAAATGTATTATAGTGGAGATTAATAATATTGAAATAATTAACTGCATAATAGTCGTGTTTTGTAATTCAGTTTTTATTATTTCGGTTTATTTTTTATTTATTCTTAAGTATGTTGCAGTTTCTTTAGATTTGTATTTGTTGTTGTTCTTGTATTCGAGTTTAGTAGAATTTTGTTGTTGCTTAAAAATTATACAAATATTTTTTGTTTTGCTTTTTTATTTTCCTTTTTCAAAAGAATTTACAATTCTGTTTGATAATGATAGCTGCCGTTTTAAATAGGGAAGGAAAAAACAAAAAAGGGGGTTTCAGTTGTTTAGGTATATTTGAAGATTTATGGCCTGCTGTCTAGCATTTCGAACCAGTTCCATTTCCATCCTCTATATAAACATTGCCCGATTTTAAGGTGTTTGTTGTTGTTGTATTGAAAATATTCCGTTCATGTGGCGATTGTAAAAGGTGATGGTGCTGTCCCCCTAACGGTCCCGTCTGTAGGTGGTTGAGATGTTTTTCCGATTTTTCTGGAAAGGAAGAGAAGAGAAAAAATAACGCAATTAGTAAAACATATTTTAAGATTTCAAATAATAGAAACGAAAAAATGTCGATAAATTTTAAATACAGTCGAATTCTCGACCCACAATTATCCCGAAAAACTTCCAGTTATGTAATTAATTTTAATTTGGGATAGGAGCTTCATCTTATGTATATTCGCATTTTGATAGTTTGCCTGTAACAAAAAATAATTATAAAACAAAATTGTCGGGCGTATGAGATATGTTGGAACCTGTCTATGGGCAACAAAAAACATAATCACGATCGTCATCATCACCAACCCGTCCCACACTCATCATGGGTGACAATCAAAACGTAAACCATAAATCGCACCTTAATCAACACAATTCATGGCACTCTCTACTCTACATGTCCATTCCATTCATTTCCCTACATTGCATTGCGGCGGACGGGCTGACTGTCGTCATCAAAATACATGGCCTTTTTTTCTTCCAAACAATGTCGAAATATCCTTATATTTTATTACTGTCTGAAATTTTTTGTTTTTGTTTTCGTTTTTTATTTTTTTTTTAATTTATTTCCATCTCGAAATTATTTTTTAAAATTCAAAAAATGTTTTCATGTTTTTCTGTCTCATATTGACAATTGATCGGCGACGTGTGGCCATAACAATCACCGACCATGGAAATACAAAAATATAAAGCCACTATAACGCGTCCACTCACTTCAGAAGAAAAAAATATGAAATAAAAATAAACCGAAACACAAATAATATTTTATAAAAAAAAATGGAATTTATGAGAAATATTTAAAAACGTCATTGTCTGGTCTGTTATCGCCGTTTTGTTTTTGTCAGATAAAGCTGGGTTCACACGTTTGCTCAAAATCTAAATTAATGTACTCGAGGGAGAAATAAATTCAACTCTGGCTGGAATTTCGTTCTTCCAAAAACCAATATGTAAACTAACTAAAGATTATAACATGCCTGAATCTGTTGCTTGTTGATTGAAATGCGCCACAATAATTAATATTGGGTCATATCGGACGAATTAACTTAAAATAACTATTCACCAAAATGAACCATCAGCACCAGCTCCGGTTCTTGTGTTCATCTAGTTCCTTTTGCTCCAGTCGTTCCTTTTTTCTCCCTTTCACTGACCTAATGGACAATTTAAACAAAACTGAAGTTTTGAACTAAATGCATGGCCTACTTCCTTTTGCGGAGCAAGCCGAAAAGGTTGGACCGTTGGGAACGAAATCACCAACTCAATCAGTAATTCCAATACAATTTCAAGGATCGTATGATAAATCTATGAATCGGAAATGAAAAGTAAACCGTAGTCTTTTTGAAGAACTGTAAGCCTCGGTGTTTGAACCGTAATCCGAGGTACGTGTGTTGGAACATTAACATCATATGCTTGTGGTGTTACGAAGTGAATGTGAATTACATGCCGTGAAGAAACATAATATCAGTGGAATAGCCACTAAGAGCGCGCTTATAGGATCATTTCATTTTCATGAACATTTGCAAAATTAAATTGGTAACTGGCAGTCCTATGTCCTCGAAAACCCTACGATTTTTATATATTTGAGATCTTGAATCGACGTTGTTCATTAGATCTCGTTGGGTAATTATGATCACCTCTTTGAGAGAGATAAGCAAAAGGTTGAGGATGCAGATCCTTCTTAATGCTTTGCCACCGAGTCAACATTATTTTTCAATGGAGTTCTGGATCAGGGACCCAATAAGCAAAAACATGACGGTGATGATGAACGACTGGCTTGAGTTAAATGAACTTAATGATCCTAAAGACCCGTTTGTGGAATGTCGTCGTCCAAGGAACTGCTAATAATGGTTTTCTCGACAGTTTTGTGGTTTTTAGTAATGGCGTAGTTTCTATTTGCCTTTAAAAGACAAATATAAACTACAGATACCGAAATGCAGGGCAATTTAAATTAACACCTCTTGTTGGTAAGTAAAACTTACATAGAATACCTCGTAACATGGAAATCAAGGCTCCTACAGGATATCTCCTATATGATATATATAGAATAACTTGTGGATGTCTTTTATATATAAAAGTCCTTCAACAGGCCTTCTGTACATCCATAAGGAATACCCTGCGTTCATCTTTATTTAAGTACCATCGATTAATAATTAACTTAATCATAATGTTTTATACTATTTAAATACATGGACAGATGGCGTACCGATTTAGAATAGAATAGAATTTACGTAGACAGACCTCAAAGAACTACAGTAGTTTTGATTTAGCTGCCTTGCACATAGCTGCACTTTGGATTTAACTGCACATAATACACTTCTTGGATACTTTTTCTTAGATTCCCTCTCCCATATTTCGTTTAAGCGCACTATTCATATCTGCACATTTGAGATATCAGCTCAGAATATTTTTACTTTTTCCCTCACATTACTTAAAATCCTTGCATTTAGCTGCACAGAGAATATTACAAACAAGGAGTATTGTTTTGAATGCAATAAACACATGCATTAAAAATAGTTTTAATACTGAATACTAAGCGTAGATCGCGTGTTCCAGAAAATTTACCATTGTCGCATTTTTATTTAGTGATTTCATTCACGTGCACCTTGAGGCAGGTATGAAATTTAAGATATCTGAACTTTTGATTTTCCACTTTTCGAATATATTCCCTTTAAGTCCTCGTTCTGTTACATTATATCCATTTCGAAAACACTCACTTTTATAGATCAATTTCCACAAAATATGTTTCCCGGTATTTTTCTTCAAAAATCCCATAATCTTTATGACTTTGTCCTACACAAATAGTTTACATTTCAAACCCATAAAATTTGATGGACAACAAACGGACGAACATCAAACTGAAACATCAAACCTTACAATTAAACAATGCTTGAGAAACAATTATAAATAAAAAAGAAACTAAAATGGTGCAATAATAAACGAATGAATTGAAGAACAAATAATAAAAAACAAACTGCACTTATCTTACACGGGAACAAGACACTATCTCTTCCTTATCTCCCTCTCTCTCTTTCTATCTCGTCATTCAAGACCCTCATAAAATTTACATTAGCACTTTTTGGGTTCATTACAACTTCTTTTTAAAAACAAAATGACAACAAAAACAAATGTTTTCCTTCTCTAAATAATGCATTTACACTCCCAGCTACATACATTATAAACAACCCGAAGAGAGTAGAGGAAAGCAATACTCTTCCATATGACGATCATTTACATTAGAACAACAAAATCGGGGACAAACTCCTAATGGTGTTTAGCGCCCTCTCATCTTTTGAAACGACGACGACATCCTCCACCCACGACAGGCAACATGCTGGGCAAGGTACTTGAAAAATGTTTTACACGCTAAATGTATACATACATACGTACTTACATGCGTATACATTTGTATGACGGCGGCGGTGGCATGCTGTGTTTGGTGACACTTTTACAATTACCACAAACAACAAGCGATCGATCAATTCCACTTCAACAACAACAATAAATTACAATAACAACAACTATTTAAATTATCCCTCCTTTGTCCACCTTCCAAATCCCAATGCTTTGCTGCTGTGGTTGTTGTTGCACAAACATCTTGAAGTTGGATTAAACAAAAACCCTGCGAGCGAGGGAGTGAGAAAATACCCCGCAATGGTTCAAGGCAATAAGAAACACTTGAACAAGGCGACAATAATGAGGAAAAGGTTTTCGGTTTTTTAATGTCCGATTCACAGTGTTTTACAGAAAAATAAATAAATAAACACAGCTGTTGCCTAGCGAGTAATCCAAATTGCCAATTGGAAAAAAATGTTTGTTCGAGAAAATGGAAATTCATGGTCATCGGAATATTTGCCACGGTTAAAAAAATATTTGTATTTTTTAGACATAGCCTTTAAACATTTGGGAACAATTCATTTTGAAGAAGGTAGATTCAGTAGGTAAGGCAATTGTCTCCTTTGTGACTCTGGTTAAAAAAATGTATCACGTTCCACAACATGTACATATGAGTCGTTTATTTTGAAAGAGGTTTAAGTCCATTTTTATTCTTATATTGAGATAATTAAAGGTTTGACTTTAATTTGTTTCAAAAATATTGTTAAGTGATATTAATTTTGATTGTGGTTTTGTGCCCTTAAACATGATGGAATATACTACGTAATTTGTTTTTAATCCTTTCTAGAAACCCATGATGTCAAAAGCTAAAATGGACACTTTCAAAATAAACGACTCATATTTCAACATTTGGAGAACATCTGAACCATCAATGATTCTAAAAAAATTATTCCATCCGCTTCAATTATTCTATGAACCATGATTTATGATTTTAGGAACTTTTTATGAAGTTTTCATTAATTTTACGAATCGCGGCTTTATATCTACTATAATTTAGAAATAATTTATTTTATTCTATGAAACTCAGCGTTCAATGACGATCCACTGAAGCTAGAACTATATCTAATACCATACATGTCTATAGGAACTTTGCAAAAAATTGTTTTTAAAACCCTATAGATTGTTTGTGACATTTTCGGTTTTATGAACTATCGCCATCGAGCCATCGAAGATTCCCGAAATATTTAAAGCAATATTTATTTTATTCTATGAAAAGTCTTTAAATCATTCATGATTTTACGAACAGGTTTTCATTCTATGAATCAGCTATTTAAAGTAGGATCTCAGGTTTTATGGACTTTTTATGAGCAATCTATGATACAATAAATTATTTATAATGCCTTTAATAATTCTATGAAACTTCAATGATTTTATGAACTTTTCAAGAAAACAGTTGTGCAATTCCGTGTAAAGGAACCATTCTACAAAAGAAACGATAGGTTCTAGCTCCGGTTCTTTCGTGTATCTAAATCCATTTGCTCCATGTATTCCTTTTAACTCTCGTTCACTTATTTGCTTTTGATCCATGACATTTTCCAAAATCTAAGAAGAGTTTCTATTCTATGAAACTAACATAAGAGTTGTGTCATTCCGCAATTAACGGTCGATCGGTACTATCTCCGGTTCTTTCGTTTATCTAGTTCCTTTTGCTCCAGTCATTCTTTTTTCCCTCGTTCACCTAGTTCAGTTTGATCCACTCGTTCATCGGATTTTCCCGTTCATTGACCGAATTAATTGACGTGTTCTTTTAAACGATTGAACTAAAATTAATGACATTATGTCCTTTGAGAAGCAAACCTAATATTGTTGGCACTTTTTAGGAATCTATGAACAATTTATGATATATTCATGATTTTATATATTTTTTTGTTCTTCTATTAAGCATTGGTTCACATTCACTATTATTTTAGGAACACTGTTCATAGAATCAATGAAACTCCCTGGTTGCAGGTAGCATTATCGAAACCTTTAATGAAGATTCCAGGAACTATGAAAAATTCTATCAACCGATGATTTTATGAATAATCGAATAATTAATTAACTATCGTTGGTTTTATTTTATGAATCTCTGAACAAGTTGGGGTTTTAGGAATCACATTTGGCTAGGTGAATAAGTAAAGCTTGAATGAAGTATCGCAGTATTTAGGATGTTATTAACCATTGAAGTTTTAACCATGAACGGTTTTATAAAGCGACGATGCTTGTGTTAGAAATTCTGAGGGGCTTATACAGCGATTTTGCACCATATACGGTTTTATGTACCATTTTGAGAACTATAGCACATTCTATGACCAATTAGTTATTTCATGAACTTTGTTTGCTATTATGATTCCTAATATCAAATAAAGTTCATGAAATAACTAATAGTTCATAGAATGTCCGATAGTTCTCAAAATGGTACAGTTTTTTATAATTTGATGTAATGCTCTTCATTTTATTAAATATTTATAATTCTATGAACTATTTATATGATATTATGAAATTTCTATGAACTATCTCTGATTCTATGAATCTATTTCTGAAAACAACCTTATATTGATTTATTCAGCAAATTTCATTAACTGTTAATGAATTTATGAATTCTTCTATGAACTTTATATGAAACGACGCATCCTATGTTTTTCAGAATTAAATTCCTAAATTATTCCATAAAGTTCAAAATATACTAACGAGGTTTTCCAGATAATGAATTTTTACATATTTTCGACCTGCGTGGAAGAGTTCATATTGATCGAGGATTTTATAAAATAGTGATACTTTTATGAACAATGAATCTGTCCTCTGTCCTAAATCATTTGAATATCAATTTCTTGTCATAAATTAAATATTTAGATCCCTGGCTCAAAACACTGTGCCTCATCACTCTCATGTTTCAATTTCAATTACCCCGGTTTCCAAGTGTTAAATATTTTCCAAACAAATAATTTACAATTTTATGTTTAAAAATAAACAAAAATTAAGAGGACACTCAGGAGAAATACACATTAGTTATTTAAAACCTGCAATGCAATACAATTCTCCTTAATGATAATACCCAACTCAAGTATTTCTACTTAAGATTCTCAAGAAATCAAAACAATGATGCTGTAATTCTTAAAATAACAACCACATCCACAAAAAGAAAACACCTTACCTGGTAACATTACATGCTGGGGCTGATGAAATGCTGCCACCGTCGTTTGTAGCTGTGGGGCAGTTGGTGGTATCCGTAGGGCATCAGCATTGCCGATGAAAAATGTGCCACCCTCCAAACTTTGTACTTCGGCCAATTTGGCCATGAGTTTGGTTGAAAGTTCTTCGACATCTAAAAATAGAAAGAAGAAAAACAACGAAATTAAAAATTAATAAAAAACGGCAAATAAAACTGGCAGCAGTTTAAAAAAATACACATCACTTGTTGTGTTTTTGTTTTGGCTATTTTCCATGAATGGCCTCCGCCCAATAGCTTCCTCTTATTTTACTTCGACGATCTTTTTATATCATGCAGTTCATTAAATTTGTTATTGAGTCGTAAATATATTTTATAACCCACACACACACACAAATACACATAAATTCCGATATTTTTGTTTTTATTTTATTTTTTGTGTTTATATTATTATTTGTATAGCTTTTCCTGTTTTTATATTTTTGATTCGCCCATTTTTATTTCAAATATCCTTCCGTCTTGCAGCTTTCCTGCTGTCTATTTTAGCTATCATTTTTTGTTGTTGTATTAATTGTTTATCGTGTTTTTGTTTTTTTTCTACGTTGCAAAATTTCCATCCCATTTCCATTTACGTCATTTGACGCAGTTTTTTTGCTTTTTTCATTCACCTCTGGCAAATTTCAAATCAATTGCAATTTACACTTCGTAAATTTGCCCTGGATTATTGTGTATTGATTTACTGGGAACAATTGTTATTTGATTTAAATGTTTGCGAGCTTTAGATTATTTTCGTATTTCTATAAACCATTTGGGTAGATATTTATGAACCAAAGATAATTTTATGAACAATTTATAATTGCATTATTTCCCAAATCGTTGAACACTTTATAAACCATTCATATTTTTATGAACAAAATTCTTATAAACTATTAAGAGCTCTCGAAGAGTCTATAAAACAATTGGAGATTACACCTTAATAAATATATGGTGCTATAAAGATACATTGGCCGCTATCTTAAAATCCACACTGTTAAACTCCAATGATTTGATGCACGATTAAGTATTTTAGTAATTAATGTAATTCTTATGAACAAAATCATTGATTCTATGAACTTTTAAATACTCTAGACATATAAGTGGTGCTATGAACCACCTAAATTTAAATTTAATGATTTCTCGATTACTTTTATGATTGGTTTATTAAAATATCCATTATTCTGCAATTTAACAAAGACTCCATAAAACATTTTGGATTATATGAATAATTCATGAACTATTTCCTATTTTTCAATATTTTATCCTATGAATCATTAATTATATAAACCGTACTATGAATCTGCTACCATTCTGTTATTTATTCTGCATAACGTGGAACATTTTATGAACTGTGAAAGTAAATATTTATGAACTTTCTGTTTTTATGAACATTATATGATTATGTTTCATAAATACTATGTACATATGTTGAATTTTATGAACGATATAAAAATAAGCAAAACTTTTATGAACTATCGAAATTCATATATACCATTAAAGATTTTTTAAAGTTATTTATGATTTTATTTACCAATTTAATTCGATTTATTATTTTATGTAGCACTTTGAGGACAATCGGATTTTCTATTAACTATTAACTATTGATTTCATAAACTTTATTTGCCATTAGGAATATTGTACAGTCATATATAAGTTTATGTAATGCTGTTAATTTTATGAAACAATCATGATTCTATGAACTACATATGATATTGTGAACTTTCCTTGAACTATGTCTGATTCTATGAATCTATTTCTTAAAATAACCTTTTATTGATCTTTTCAGCAAATTTCATTAACTGTTAATGAGTTTATGAAATAATTTATGAACTTTATATGAAACGACGATGTGTATGAGTCGTTTATTTGGAAAGTGGTTTAAGTCCATTTTAGATTCTGATACAAATCTTGGTTTTCTAGAAAAGTTTACAAAACATATTACGTTATATATTTTATCAGGTTTAAAAGCACGAAGTCACTAACAAAATTAATGTCACTTAACAATATTTTTGAAACAAATCAAACCCAAATCTTTAAATATCTCAATATAAGAAAAAATGGACTTAAACTACTTTCAAAATAAACGTACCACATTGTGAACTATCGGATATTCTATGAACTATTACTGATTTCATAAACATTATTGCAATCTTTTGTAGTTATTTATAATTCTATGTACAGCTATTGATTTTATGAAATATTCATAATTTTACGAAATATTGCTGTTTCTATGCACCTGTTTCTTAAAATAACCTTATATTGATATAAGCAACAAATGTCATTAACATTTAATATGTTTATGAACCTTTTATGAAACGACGTATTATATATGAATCGATGAGTTACGGACTTTCAAAGGTGTTTTTGACTTTGTTAAATTTTAATATTTTTATTTTTTTTTAATAGAAATCATACTTTAAAATTTTTTCCTAATTTGTAACACTGGAATCTTGAATACTTCCTCATTCATCGATCAAAAATTTTCTCTATTATACTTCATGCACATCCTTTTAGTTTTCAGTTCACTTCACAACAAAGTTCGATTTTTTATGTTCCTACTAAAATACGCAGAACTGCAAATGGCACAAACGTCAATATATATCCGCATCTACACTGACATAGATATAAACAATGTGTGCAGGAAAATTGTTCGATGTTTTACGGAGCACAGTGATTTGAAGAGGAGGTTAAATATGAAGGGAGAATAATTATGGCCTTTCTCAAATAAAATTCGCATCGTGGCCATAGCTAATTTTCCCATAGAACTTTGCAGAAATTTAATGATTCTCTAATTCATCAAGACTATATACATTTATAAAATATTAGGAAATTCTATGAATTATTTTTCCTTTTACGGATTTTCGAGGTTTTTATGAACTGTCTATTATTACATTTGGTTGATTTATGATTAATTGAATAAATGACAGTTCATAAAAATAAATTCATAAAATCAGAAATAGTTCATGGAATTAATAACCGTTCATAAATTTCTATACAATATTTTATTAAATCTCAGATAGTTCATAGAATGTCTGAGAGGTTATACAATCAATACATTATTATCATGATTTCGCATGCCTTATTTTATGAAATTTTTATTTATTTATTTTTTTGAAATATAATTTTTTTTTCATTAATCTTTTTAGATGAATTTTATGAAAATTTTCAAACAAATGCTGCTCTGAACCATGAAACCATTTTATGAAAATTCGTAAGTACTATGAACTTTGTTTATTATTTCATGACCTCTCAATGTTTTTTGAACAATATATTACAATCTATGAATTATTCCTGCTTTATGTACTTATGATAATGCTTTTTGTACCTGCAATAAATATATGAACCATTTATGACTTTATGAACAATTTACAAACTACAGCTACAACTTATGAACAACTTTTATGAAACTTCGGAACTATTTATCACTTTATGAACTTTCAATGCTTTTGTGTACATAGATCATTAATTTTATGAACAAGCTTTTTATGATTCTATGAACTACTTGGAATTTTATGAACTGTTTTCATAAAAGAAATGAATATTATAGAAATAACAATTTATAATCTACTGTCTCAATGAACTTAATGGCATTTCTTGAAATTAAGCAATACTGGCATAATGTTCGAAGAAAATGGAGCTATGATTTTCAAATACAAAAACCCACAATTCGCTATTAGTTACAATCTTCAGGCCATTGGAGGCCTTGTAACGCTATTTTTTTGTTCGAACAATTTTATATTTATTACATAGTTGTTATCATTTCAAATGTCAATGTCGACCACTGTGCAACCTCAATGGAAAATGTTTTTCCATAAAAAATGAACAACAGTTCATGTCCATAAACATAATATTTCTTAATGTACTCTAGCGATCTATTCTTGCCCTGCATCGATAGTACTCCAACAAATTTGCCTACAGAGGCCACAGCCTTCAAACTTTTCATTGATTGGCGATGGTGGTGGTGTTGTTGTTATTTTCCCTTCAGTTCATTCAATTTTTCATTTCTAGCACTTTGTGCAAAAAAAAAACTAGGAACTCGCAGAAGTTGGAATTCTGTTCATTTTCATTTCACACCCTAGGAGATGCAAAAAATAATATTTGTTTATACACAAAAAAGAAAAAATACTGGTGCTGGAAGAACTGCCTCAATGAAGTGGTTTTACGTAAAATAAACTGCCAAGATATACACAGATATCAAAAGGGAAGTATATTTCGTTACACACACACACCAACATGTAAATTTAAAGGTAGAGCGAAGAATCGTGAATAGGAAAAATATGTTTACACAATTAATTTGAAATTATCTGAAATTAGCAATAAGGCCAAAAACGAAGAAGAAAAATAGCAACCACCCTGGCCATTATTTCAAAGCGTTGAAATATCTAGCAAGAATTATTTACTCCATGATCATCGCCTTTAACAAAAAAACAACAAGCGAACACATTAATCGTCAACAACATTAGCACGAACATCATTCATACTGTAACAACATCCCCTGGCCATATGGATGCCTCCGACAAGCAGAGGCAGCAGCAACGCCATACCCTGCCATGCCATATCAAACCGAGCCATTCGTTCATTCATTCCATGATGATTTGTTTACAGGCCATTTCCGAAAATAGTTGCACGGTGTTGAATACAAACACGACTGGCAGCACTACATCACAAGCAACAAGTATGGTGTTCCTGCTAAGGTGTTGTTCTTGTTGTTGTTGAAAAGAAAAAATATATTTGTCATTGTAATTAAACGACAACAACAAGCCATTAAAGGTGTATCCAAATCGAAATCCAAAAAATGACAATTTATCATTCATCATCATGTTCGGAAAGATGTCATCATTACAAGGGACCAGAACATACTTCTCGTACACCACAAACAGCAGTTCCGCCAACAGTTGTAACCGAATGTTTATGTTACACGTTTGCTGAACATATGACAAATGTGGCTCGGTAACCGCTTCCTCCTCCTTCCATCCCAAAAAAATATTTGATGTGATTCCAAAAATTTGTTGTAAATCTAATTCAATTCAAATCATTTCATTCATCTAAGCACTTCCAACCCGATAATAAAAATTCCTTCTACCCAAAAAAGAAGCACCATCGCACCGGAAGTTGTTGTG